AAAAACCTAGAAAGCCTTGAAATAAAGGAAACATCCAAGCTAACCACAGGAGGCCTGGAAAAAAAAAAAAAAAGCTAACCACAAGAGGAGTATATATATCCCCAAACACTTTCTACTCCTTACCTATCGTTCTTTTTTTAAGTATTTTCTTCATTCAAAACAAAACAAAGAAAACTTCATGTTTTCTTCTTTCTCTTAAACTCTAATTTTCTGGTAAGTAATCATCATCATTCATCAATCTCTCTTTGGTTATTTTTTCAATCCTTTGACAATTTTTGTTATTCTTTCAATTTTAGGAATTTCAATACCAAAAAGAAAAAACTCTTTTCATAAAAAACCACTCAAAATCAAATAGTCAGATTCAAATCTCAATTCAAATTCAGATATGTAACTAAATTGTTGTTGACATTTGTGTGCAAGTACTCTTTAATTGTGATTGCCAATTTTTTTTCCTATGAAACACGGATTACTTATTGGAGGTAGCAAGGGAACTTGTAGGGGCACAAGGAGCTTATTTTTGTACCAAACATTTAATTTTATCAAATAGAAACATTTAAATTTTTATAAATTTGATTTCTAATTGTCATTACATATTTATTGATGGTGACTTTTAGTTATAAAAAAAATTGTTTATGACATTAAGTTATGGCAAATTTTTATTTATAGTATTTTTGTATTAGATTATGTGAGGTCCCAATTTAAGTTTCGCATAGGGTCTTCAAAATCTCAGGGACGGCCCTGGTCCTTAATGTGGTTCCGCCCTTGCTTGTAGTGGATGTATCAAATATCATTTTGTTCTCTTTGCCGCTCTCAGCATTTAGTGCTAGTATCAAATATCAAATTTACAGGCCATTGAGAAAGGAAAGTTAGAAAACCTAGATAGAAGAATAATGTTGTGCAGAATGTCCCAGTATTGCAAAATCATCCGCTATTAGGTTAGCTTCGCGGAAACATCCTTCAGTACTTGTTTGACTCCCACCTTATGAAATATGCTTCTTCTTCTTTTTTTTTTCTTTTTTTTTTTAAAATTTATAATTATTATAACATGTGTGAATTCTAAATGCAGAGGCTCGGAGCAATAAACGCCATAAATCTTTTGCCATCAAACTGTAGCAAAGACCTTTCTACTCCTTAACTTTACTAGCTAGAATATTCTGTCAATATGTATCTTTTGCCTGAAAAAATATTAACTAATTGGAAGGGAAATGAAATTTACTTTAAAAAAAAAAAGAAAGAAAGTAAATCACGTTGTAGTACTAGAAACACGCATTACAAACTTAATTAATGGGACAATAACTTTTCCATCTTCTTCATTATTATTCTGGACAGTAATTCTTGCAAAGGTTCATGTGCTGTCACAAATTAATCTGGAAATGTTTCCAGCGGTGATTGTGAACTTTAGCAAAAGACCTTCTTTTGAAGAAAATTAAGTTGCTACTTTTCCGTTTTGAAGCCAAACCGCGCCATTCTTTCCTTCACAATTGTCTTGGCAGGATTGTATTCTTCCACATGGCCCCTTTGGTCCATCTCCAGCAGCACCAAATAATTCTTCTTCTTGTGTAATTCGAACATGTCCTCGATGTTTCTGATGCATTCTGGGTGGGGTCTAGCTGCGTAGCAAGACAGCCTTTCCGCAATGTGCAACAAGTATTTGTCTTCCTCCTCGTGTGCCTTCCACTTATTTTCCCCAGCAATGGGGATCCACACAGTCTTATACACATCCATCTTCTCCTTTTCTATTCGTTCATTAACGTGCTTGATAAGTTTAATATGAGCTTCAGAAATATCCAATCCCGAAAGGAACAAGAATAGTTTACTGCCGCTCAGTGTATCGAAATTCTTGAGATATTTCTATTTGGACAAAACAAAACAAAAAAGCACAATAATGGAACCAGTCTTTATCAGTAATATAAGAACAGCAATGCAAAACTTTAGTAACATGCTAACCGGATTGGGAGTGTAGGCGTCAATGATCGATCTCGACGGCACATCAAAACCTTCGAAAATGAAGTGTTTCAACTTCGCCGAAGATTCAGATATTGTCACACACAGCGACTTCAGGCACTTCAGGGACTTCAGGATGTCTGGGTCCAAACGGAGAAATAACTCTTTAATCTTCGTTAGATTGTCAACTTCATCCTGTTTAAATAATTAGGAACGCAGTAATTAAGGTTCATGCCAAAAATCAAATTACAGAGTAACCTATTGTTTAAACATTTACGAGAGAGAGCAAACCAGTTTCTCGGTAGAACCATCAAATATGGTCGTCTCCACATCAACCCCGCCACCTATTCCTTCCGAAGTTTCTGTGTCAGTCATGGCAAACAGGCTCTTCTTAGCGGCCTCTATGATGGCTTGGTTGGTTGGAAACTCTTGTCTTGGGTTTAAGGCAGAACACAGAACAACTTTTGGGACACCTTAATTAGGACAGTGTCGTATAACCAGGATCCATCTCATTATTATACTGCCAATTGCCAGATGCTATGTTTCTGATTGGATCCAACTTCTTCTTATGCCCCTGATATATATTATATACATTAATGCTTTTCTTGTTTCAAAAAATTAAAGGGCTTTTGACTGATAATAGTCAGAATAATAATGCCTTCGTGTTTTGATTCTTGAATATAGATTAATACAATAAAAATTCTGCACCAGTTTGTGTCTGCCACAAATTTTTATTATTTTCTCCAGCTAAGCATTCCCACACTAACCGTAGTTTATCTGACATCTCATTAGCATATACATAACATATATTATATATACGTTATTTTTTTCATCCAGTATCCATACCAAAAGTGAGAAAGTGATACGAGGACTCCAGACTTACGTGTTAATTAGTGGCTTCTAGAACACATAATAAAATATAAGAATATTAATTGTCGGCATCAAATCATCAAAGCCAAAGTTGAATTTAGGATGGAACAAAATGACACAATAAAATATAGTATGATGGGGTCATATATATATATGGGTGACTGTTGCAGCAGCGCTGCATAGAGGTGTGTATGGTCAGGATTGGATCGGTTTTATTTTAAAATTGTGATTGAATTAATCACTTTATAATGATTTGATTTTTGACAAAAATCATGAAGGAAACTGTGAACACAAAAAAAACCATTTTAAAACAGTTTGATTCGGTCGGTTTGGTCCCAACCTAATTTTGTTTCTTTTTTGCATTTCTTCAATATTGTTAGCCTAATTTCATAAAAAAATTCGCATACCTTTTTTTTTTTTTTTTTTTTTTTTTTTTTTTTTTTTTTTCATTTTCTAGTGTATCAAACCATCCTGAAAGTCAACATGCCATGCAAACATGGGCTTAGTCAAGTTGGCTAGATAGATGTGCTCATTACTTTACACTAGAATTCGAATCTCTCTACCCGTACCTTAGATTCGATTAATTAAAGTAGAATATCACTCGTATAAAAAAATAATAATAAAAAAAAAACTCAACATGCTACAAAACTTCAAAATTCAAGAGTTATTGTTAATGTATGGTTTTTACTATTTTCTTTTGGCTTCCCTTGACAACTTTGTAATAGGATGTGTAATGTAATTTATCAAGCTCAAGTCTAGATTAGGGAAAACTTTTATTGGTGCTCTTCTCTAATCTCTGCTCTATGGTGGCTCAAGCAATTTGACAAAGGTATTGAGCATTGCATATCATTACATTAAACAGTCTTCATAAAATGATGACTAGTCATCCGTTTCTCAGATGACTAGTCATCCTTGTTTCCAGCTGGATAACAAACTGTTTTGTCCTTTTATTCTTTCTCTCTCTCAGCTGCCAAGTGGGTTGTCTGACCTAAGGAATTCGTTGGACATTAAAAGCTACGAGATTTCTCATTTGGCTGTTGTCTTTTTTGGGGAGGAAGTTTTGGAAAGATTGGCTTGCGATCTTTCTCTTCTTCTTCCTCAAGAGAAAACCAAATATTTCATCTATGAGTTTTTCCAATTAATATCTTTTTGAAAAACTGCTTTTGAAACCCGAAATCTGCATCTAGCTACTTAAATCATCTTTCATTTATATCTAGGTCAGATTCAAGATTGATTTCTTCAAGAGTATGGTTTCTTGAAGAAATTGGTCTTTCTCCTTTGAATCCAAATTGGTTTCGGTTTGTGTTGGAGCTTGCAAGCTAGGGCCATGGGATGAACGAGCTGGAGAAGGAGCTGCCATTGCCATGAAGAACTGAGCTTCAAGCTTTGCTAAGTTGGAGAAGAAGATTGCACAAAGGAGGTATAGCTCATCTTCCTAAATAGATCTAGGTTTTTCTTGAGCTTGCTTGTGTTCCTTTGTAAGAATCTTTTTCTACTTAGTGGATTGCCTGGTCGGTTGATGACCCCCAGTTTTTCCCAATGGTGGGTTTCTGGGT